TACGATCTTTTACCCTTGCGCCTGTTGCAGCATCCCCCGTAGTCCCATGATCAAAATTCAGACGATTGGCAATTGACTCACCTTTATGACGGTTGCAGTGGTCCCGGGGGTCACTTGATCCCCTTCTGTGGCCTTCTGACCAGCAAAGTCAATGGGGGAAGCCAGATTCACTTCACAACCATGTTCATAATTTAACAACAACGATTCACTTAAACAACGGTGGCAGGGAAGGTCGTAAAACGGGACAAAAAACAGCTGTCTTGCTTAGCCACAGAAAAGCTGGGCGCACGTGACCGGGATGCTGCTCTGGTTGTAAAGGGGAAAAACAATCATCAGACACATTTACAGAACCGTTGTGACTCCGAACGGTCGCTAAACGAGCCGTCGTAAATAGAGGTCTGTCTGTAATGGGTTTCCATCACTTCTAATTCCTCGTTGATTTCTTCTCCTTACAGATTGGAAGTCTCGCCACGCAAGATGAGTCACAGCTGGGCTGCAGCTGCACAAAACGCAGTTTGAGGTTGAAACAACGGAAGTCGGAGGAAGTGAAAAGTTCTGCATGCCTGGAGTTTCGACCGCCTCGAGTCCTGGGTTCAATTTCGGGCATCGGCCTTTTAAGGAGGATTCAGAGCGTCTGAAACAGGTGAAGAGAAGCGCCGTGACACCCAACATAGGCAGCCCTCAAACTTATCACCGCTCGTTTAGTGACCGTTTGAAGTTAACAACGGCACTGGAAAAAAGTTGTTTCACGCTTACGGCCGTCGCAGCGTCTCCGTGATCACGGGGTCAAAATTCAAAGGCTTGGCAACTGGCATGTACTTAGGACGGTTGCAGCGTCCTGTGATCCCCTTTTGCGACCATCTGACCTGTAAAGTCAATGGGGAAGCCGGATTCGCTTAACAACCGTGTTCTTAACTGAACCAAAGTAGTGATTCACTTAACGACGGTGGCAGGAGAGGTCATAAAATGGGGCAAAACTCATTTCGATCCTCAAAAAGCAGAAGTCAGCAATTTACTACCTGTGGAGTTCAGCCATGATGGCTGGAGCAGGAATTCTGGGAGTTGAAGTCCACAGGTCATAAAGGGGGCCGTAGTTGCCCACCCCTGTCTTAAAGGGGCAGGCCAACAGCATGGCTGGCTCAGGAATTCTGGGAGTTGAAGTCCACAAGTCATAAAGGGGGCTATAGTTGCCCATTCTGTCTTAAAGGGACAGGCCAACAGCATGGCTGGCTCAGGAATTCTGGGAGTTGAAGTCCACAGGCAGTAAAGGGCCTGTAGTTGCCCACCCCTGTCTTAAAGGGACAGACCAACAGCATGGCTGGCTCAGGAATTCTGGGAGTTGAAGTCCACAGGCCGTAAAGGGGGCCGTAGTTGTCCACCCCTGCTCTAAGGCCTCTGAAGACACCAGGAAGGAACGAGGCCTGTTTAAACTTCAGCAAAGGAACTTGAGAATATAATACAGGTAGTCATCTACTAAGGAGTGGTTATTTGGTGGCTGTTTGGAGTTACAACAGACCCCCCAAAAGGCACTTAAAACCCAGAGTCAAAGTCCTGACAGTTTTCCCCACCGTGCCATTTGGGCACATGGCAGCTGGCCCATATTTACATGCATTTGCAGCCTCCCACAGTTACACAACCACAATTTACAACGTCTTTGCCGTGAACCCGCATTGAGTTGCTGTTTTGGGGCCAAAAACGCCCCTTGTGCACTGTCCCGCAGTCACACGACCCTGATTTATGAACTTCTGTGATGGAAATGGACATTTACTTTCAATTTTCATCCAAAAATGTCCATTGTGGACAATAGGTTCACTTAAATGTAGTAGTAGTAGTAGTAGTAGTAATAGTATAATAATAATAATAATAATAATAATAATAATAATAATAATAATAATAATAATAATAATAATAATAATAATAATAATAATAATAATAATAAAAAATGTTGGAAGGGACCTTGGAGGTCATCTAGTCCAACCCCCTGCTCAGGCAGGAAGCCCTATACCATTTCAGACAAAGGGCTGTCCAGTCTCTTCTTAAAGACTTCCAGTGTTGGAGCATTCACCGCTTCTCTTAACGACCTGCACAAAAAGGTAATAAAATTAGGTCGGTCACATGATGATCTGCTTAATGACCAGCATGAGTCCCATAACCGTCCTTTCAGGGGTTACAAGTGTCACAAGTCTCCCTTGCGGTCGTAAGTCAAGTACTAACAGCTGGGAGGATGTTCAGACGAAATCCAGATGGGTTTTCTCCTCTTTCAGAACGCAGGACTCAGAAACGTGGATTGAAGTTGCTGGAAGGAAGAGATTCTCGTTCAATGTCGGAAAACGCTTTGGGTCAGCTGGGGAAGTAGTGACCCACAGAGCAGGTGAGGCGTTTTTCTTGAAGATGCTTTCCTCTGGGTCCCTGCCCTCAGCAGAAAAGTCGCCTTGGGGCCTAAATTGCAGGATGGGATGGGATGGGATAGGACAGTGGTGGTGAACCTATGGCACGGGTGCCAGAGGCGGCACTCAGAGCCCTCTCTGTGGGCACACGCGCCATCGCCCCAGTCCTAGGCCTTCAGCTGGGTTCTATAAAACTTTTTCGCTTTAGGCCTCCGCCGCCGTGTGCAAAAAAAAAAGGTTCAATCAATCAATTTCAACTTCTTGCGGGGAAAAAAAAAAGATCTTGCAAAGTTGGAATTGATTGATTGAACTTTTTAGTCCCACCCAGTCTGCCGTTACCACCGCAGCCACGCCCACCCAATGGGCCACACCCACCCAATGGGCCACGCTCACCCGGCACCCGACGATGCATAAGTGGGTTTTGGGTTGCAGTTTGGGCACTCAATCTCTAAAATGTTCGCCATCACTGGGATAGGATACAACTAGAATAGAGCAGTGTTTCTCAATCTTGGTGACTTTAAGATAGGTGGACTTCAACTCCCAGAATTCCCCAGCCAGCTTTGCTCGTGGGGAATTCTTGGACTTGAAGTTTACCCATCTCTTAGAGTTGTTTTACAACAACAACAACAACAAAACAGAGATGGAAGGGACCCTGGAGGTAGAAGGGAAGGGAAAGGAAATAGAAAATAGAAAGGAATAGGAATAGGAATAGGAATAGAATAGAATAGAATAGAATTTAGGAATAGAATAGACTGGAGTGGAATGGAATGAATGGAATAGAATAGAATAGAATAGAATAGAATAGAATAGAATAGAAAATATAGAATAGAAAATATAGAATAGAAAATATAGAATAGAAATACAGAATAGAATAGAATAGAATAGAATAGAATAGAATAGAATAGAATGAATAACAGAGTTGGAAGGAACCTTGGAGGTCATCTAGTCCAACCATTTCGGACAAATGGCTGTCCAGTCTCTTCTTAAAAACTTCCAGTGTTGGAGCATTCACCGCTTCTGGAGGCAGGTTGTTCCACTGGTTAATTGTTCTCACTGTCAGGAAGTTTCTCCTTAGTTCTAGGTTGCTTCTCTCCTTGATTAGTTTCCACCCGTTGCTTCTTGTCCTGCCTTCAGGGGCTTTGGAGAACAGCTTGACTCCCTCTTCTTTATGGCAACCCCTGAGATACTGGAAGACTGCTATCATGTCCCCCCTCGTCCTTCTCTTCATTAAACTAGACATACCCAATTCCAGCAGCCGTTCCTTATATGCTTTAGCCTCCAGTCCCCTGATCATCTTTGTTGCTCTTCTCTGCACTCTTTCTAGAGTCTCAACATCTTTTTTACATCGCGGTGACCAAAACTGGATGCAGTATTCCAAGTGTGGCCTTACGAAGACATTGTAAAGTGGTATTAACACTTCACGTGATCTTGATTCTATCCCTCTGTTAATGCAGCCCAGCACTGTGTTGGCCTTTTTGGCAGCTGCAGCACACTGCTGGCTCATATTTAGGTGATTGTCCACTAGGACTCCGAGGTCCCTCTCACAGTTACTACTATTGAGCAAGGTGCCTCCTGGGGAATTCTGGGAATTCTGGGACTTGAAGTTTACCCATCTCTTAGAGTCGTTTTACAACAACAACAAAAAAATAGAGATGGAAGGGACCCTGGAGGTAGAAGGGAAGGGAAAGGAAATAGAAAATAGAAAGGAATAGGAATAGGAATAGAATAGAATAGAATAGAATAGAATAGAATAGAATAGAATAGAATAGAATAGAATAGAATTTAGGAATAGAATAGACTGGAGTGGAATGGAATGAATGGAATAGAATAGAATAGAATAGAATAGAATAGAATAGAATAGAATAGAATAGAATAGAATAGAATAGAAATGTAGAATAGAAAATATAGAATAGAAAATATAGAATAGAAATACAGAATAGAATAGAATAGAATAGAATAGAATAGAATGAATAACAGAGTTGGAAGGAACCTTGGAGGTCATCTAGTCCAACCCCCTGCTCAGGCAGGAAACCCTACACCATTTCGGACAAATGGCTGTCCAGTCTCTTCTTAAAAACTTCCAGTGTTGGAGCATTCACCGCTTCTGGAGGCAGGTGGTTCCACTGGTTAATTGTTCTCACTGTCAGGAAGTTTCTCCTGAGTTCTAGGTTGCTTCTCTCCTTGATGAGTTTCCATCCGTTGCTTCTTGTCCTGCCTTCAGGCGCTTTGGAGAATAGCTTGACTCCCTCTTCTTTGGGGCAGCCCCTGAGATACTGGAAGGCTGCTATCATGTCCCCCCTCGTCCTTCTCTTCGTTAAACTAGATATACCCAATTCCAGCAGCCTTTCCTTGTATGTTTTAGCCTCCAAACCCCTGATCCTCTTTGTTGGTCTTGAGCCCCGTGCTCAAGTAGGAGATCCTATCCCATTCCAGACAGGTGGCTGTCCAGTCTCTTCTTCAAAACATCCAGTGTTTGGGCACCTGGTGCCAAAATTCCTTGGGGTTGGAAGGGCTTGTTCGTGAGGATGGGGTTGGAGTTGGGTCAGTCCTGCCCATCCTCATGGCCCGTTCTTCTCTTTGTTTCAGGAGTCCCCGTGGCTGAAAGTGTGGCCGATGGAGGAGGCAATAAGTAAAGGTGAGTTTGCAGGCGAATGGGGTGGGCATCCAACAGGTGGGGAGGTGCGCAAGGGAAACTGAAATGGCCAGTCAGGACGGTCTTCTGGATGCTCCTTGCTGAAATAGAGCAGAAATAAGGTCTCTGGGGATTTTTCTTCCCATTGGCCAATACTGTAAAAATGCATATTTTAAAAGAGCCTAAATAGACTTTTTTTTTCTCTTTGAGCCTTCAGGTCAGTCTTGATTCCTGGTCACTACCTGGACAGGACCTGAAGTATCGGCAACACCTTCCTTCCTTCCTTCCTTCCTTCCTTCCTTCCTTCCTTCCTTCCTTCCTTCCTTCCTTCCTTCCTTCCTTCCTCCTTCCCTTCTTTCTTCCTTTCTCGCTCTCCCTTCCTTCCCCTTTTCTTCCTTCCTCCCTCCCTCCCTTCCTTCTTTCTTCTTCTCTCTCTCTCTCTCTCTCCTTCCTTCACCCTTCCTCCTTTCCTCCCCTCCCTCCCTTCTTCTCTCTCTCTCCTCCCTTCCTTCCTCCCTTCCTC